GAAGGAAGGAAGGAAGGAAGGAAGGAAGGAAGGAAGGAAGGAAGGAAGGAAGGAAGGGAGGGAGGGAGGGAGGAAAAGAAATATGAATCTGGCTTTCCAGGGCTCAGGATCCAGCCAGGCTGCGTTTAGGAGCAGGGACACTGCTGGCCTAGAGCTCCAGAAATCCTGGGCCCCAAAGTGAGAGGCAGGTTGCCCCCAATCACACTGAATGCATGGACTTCAAGGCCTGTCTGTGTTTCTGTGACTGGGCAAGGCCACTGAGCCAGAGTTGTCATTTTTTTAAAATATGTTTTTATTGATTTTACAGAGAGGAAGGGAGAGGGTTAGAGAGTTAGAAACATCAATGAGAGAGAAACATCCATCAGCTGCCTCCTACACGACCCCTACTGGGGATTGAGCCCATAACCAAGATACATGCCCTTGGCCAGAAGTCCACAAGCCAACGCTCTATCCACTGAGCCAAACCGGTTAGGGCCGGAGGTTGCCATTTATTTTGTCACTCGCTCACTCACTCTCCAAAACGTATAGAGTAAAAGTCAGGGTGAGTCACAATCATCCGCCACTTCCCTGTCAGAGCTGTCTGACCCAGGGGCTGATCCACGCAGCGTCTTTGGCCAGTGAGTGTGCTCCCGAAGCATAAAGACCTGAGCTAAAATCGTGGACAAGCCACTTCTCCTCTCTTAAGACTCACAACCACATTTGTAAAATGGAGATGGTGGCAACTTCCTGCCTCCTCTAAGGAGTGCTCTGAAGGTCACATCAGTGATGCGTATAGGAGACTATTAATAACAATAACATTGCCATCACTAGCCCCCAAAGAATCCCAGTCTCTAAATGTCAATTATCATCATCATTACGGTTATCAACAACACAGTAATACCTACCAGCTACTAAGCACTCGGCTGTGTGCTAGGCACAGTGCGATGCATGTTTTCTGCATTCTCACTTGGGCTCCATAACCTCTGAAGTAACAACTATTATTGTCTCCATTTTACAGATGGTGAAACTGAGGCACAGAGAAATGAAGTATCTCATTCCAATTCACACAGTAGGTAGAGCAAGGGTCCACACCCAAGTCTGTCTGAGTCCGCAGCTCAAGATCTTTTCAACTTCATTCCACTGCCAAGGCGGGAGCAGGTTGCCTTGTTAAAGTGACTCCCATTTGCTAGAGCCTGACATGGCCCTGAAGTCTTGTGGTCGCTTACTGACCCTTGTAATAGTCACCCTCCGGGAAGGTAGGACTGGCTGATTTTGTTGTCCCTGTTTAACAAATGAGACAACTGAACCCGTAGCAAAACTTGGCAATCATGTGTCTTAACTCATTGATAAGAGAACACCAGGAATATAAAGGACTATAGAGAGTGGATCCAGAGGGGGCACTGAGGCTCAGAGAGGGAAAGGGACCTGGCCAGGTCATTCATTCAGACCTTTCCTGAGACTTATGTGAGACACACATGAGAAGAAGGCCATGTTTGCTATTCTAGTTTTATAATGCTGCCCCCACTCCACTGCTAGCTTCCCTTTGCATCTAGGGCTGGCAACTGACGCCGATTTCTTTCCTAGTCTGAGACTTAGTTTCCCCGGGTACCAAGTGGGGAAACTAACCTGGGTCAGCAATGAGTTCTAGAAGCCAACACCGCTTCCACAGCCCACATAAGGCCCAGGAGGCCCGTCTCGGCGCCTTTGCTCCCTGCTGCCTCCAACCCCAGGGACATCTGGAGGTAAAGAACATGCCAACACTATTCACAGAGTTGTGCAACCATCACCACTATCAAATTTCAGAATTCCAGTTGTTATTAGCTAGTGCTGAGCTGGAGCCCCCATTGCCCCTTAGGAACTCAGAGCTCCTCCCTGGTTTGGCCCAGATGCCACTCTTCTGGGAAAGCCCACGGTGCCCCTAGAAAGAATTTCTCCGGGGCAGAAGTTGAGCAAAATGTAAACACTCAGTGGACACTGTGTTCCACTTAGTGAAACAAAGTTGTAGATTTTTCTGGGGAAGAGGCTCACCATATCAGCACAGGCCAAGCCCAAGCCTTTTCCCAGCCTTGCCTCTCTAGCTGCCCTGAATGCAACAACTGTATTGACTATGGCCTCAGTTTCCCCATCTTCTCCCCAGTTAGCAGGCTGAAACATATGCCTCCAATGTCCCACAAAGGGATTCTCCCCAACAAATGGCTAATCACATCCACTTTGTTGGAAGAAAAAGGCCAGCCTGTTCATCAGCTAAGATTAGCAAGAGCAGTAGGTTGGGGCTGGATTGGAAAGATTCCAGCATTTTTATAGTGAGTAAAGAGGTGGAGAAGGGTAGGGGAATTCTTTCCTTAGGACAGTGGTTCTCAACCTGTGGGTCGCGACCCCTTTGGGGGTCGAACGACCCTTTCACAGGGGTCGCCTAAGACCATTGGAAAACACATATATAATTATATATTGTTTTTGTGATTAATCACTATGCTTTAATTATGTTCAATTTGTAACAATGAAATTGGGGTCACCACAACATGAGGAACTGTATTAGGGTCGCAGCATTAGGAAGGTTGAGAACCACTGCCTTAGGAGATTCTTCATCCCCATGGGCCTTATCACCTGGCTAACACCTGGACTAGAATCTAAATCCCTTGCATTTTTCCTACAGAGGACTTTTCTACTCTTTATATCATTAGATTTTACCCACAATTCTGAGAGGTAAGGCAGGGAGGGTATCATTATCCCCATCTTGCGGTGGGTTAATTGAGGCTCAGAGAAGGTAAGTGACTTTTCCAAGGTCACACAGCTAATGAGTGGCAGAGCAGAGCTAGAAGACAGAAGCCAGTGTCTAAGCTTCTTGCCATTGGCCAATGCTGATGGCTATTGGGACAGCTTCTGGGACTGTCTTTGGTCCAGTAAGGAGAGCAGTGATATTCTGAGTAAACTGCTGCCAATTCAACCATAGCAATTCTGTTATAAATGTTTCCTATAGGGATTCTGCTGCCCCTAAACATTTGAAATACCCTATTCTGATGGATACTCAGAAGAGCATTAAGAAGTAGCCAAGGCTGCCCTAGCCAATCTGGCTCAGTGGATAGAGCACTGGCCTGCGCACTGAAGGGTCCTGGGTTCAATTCTGGTGAAGGGCACATGCCCAGGTTGCAGGCTCTATCTCCAGTAGGGGGCGTGCAGGAGGCAGCCGATCAATGATTCTCATTATTGATGTTTCTATCTCTCCCCCCTCTCTCTCTCTTCCTCTCTGAAATCAATAAAAAAATATATATTTTTAAAAGAAGTAGCCAAGGCTGATGTGTCCATCCCCATTCTACAGAAGAGGAAACTGAGACCCAGAAAGTGGAAGTGATGAGGCCAAACCACAGAGCTAGTCAGTGTCAGAGCAAGGACTGGAATGTGGGCCTCTGGACTTGCAGGTCAGAGGCCTATGCAAATCTATCGTTTCTCACATTTCCTGTCTCCTCCAGTAAACTGATGGTGATTAATACCTAGAGTCTCATCTTTCTCGGCTCTGACCCCTACAGAGCTGCCTGGCTTCTTGGAGGGCTTCCAGAAGCTCAAGGAACTTGTAGAATAAATGTATGAACCAACCTCTACCTCCCCTTATCACCACCACCCCCCCACCCCCACCCCCGGTCCATGAACACATACACTTAGTTCCCCTCTCCCCACCCATTTGCTCAAATGTCAGGGAGAGACCAGCAGGCCCCCTCCTAGGAACTCCTAATCCACCTCCTCTGTCCTGGCTGTGCTGTGGCTGTGGACAGAGGATTCCTTGTTCCTAGTGCTTCCTGCCCAGAGATCTCCGTGGGGCCCATGTACTGGCAGGAAGGAGCCAAATCACTCCTTTTAACTGGAGCTAACACCATCCCCTACCCCCACCACCCCCAGGAGTAACACGCTCCTAGCTCTGTTTGGCATTTATTCTACCTGCCCTGACCTGGCTCAGCCCCACCCATCCCTCATAGCCCTGCTCCTTAGACCACACACACACACACACACACACACACACACACGAGAGAGAGAGAGAGAGAGAGAGAGAGAGAGAGAGAGAGAGATCCCCTAGGCGTACAGAGATGCCTCACATCTAATCAAAAATAAAAACCAGAGGATTCCAGCATGACAACATCACAGCCCTGGCAGTTGTGCCTTACAAATAACTCCACAATGACATTTGCATATTACTTCGCAATTTCCCCATCAGGGTAACTTCATTGGTTGGACTCCCTTCCACTC